TTTCCTTTGTTGTGTAAAAGCTTTTAGGTTTAATTAGATCCCATTTGTTTATTTTTGCTTTTATTTCTAAAATTCTGGGATGTGGGTCATAGAGGATCCTGCTGTGATTTATTTCGGAGAGTGTTTTGCCTATGTTGTCCTCTAGGACTTTTATAGTTTCTGGTCTTACATTTAGATCTTTAATCCACCTTGAGTTTATTTTTGTGTATGGTGTTAGAAAGTATTCTAGTTTCATTCTGAAAGAGGAAATTAATAGTAACACAATAATAGTGGGAGACTTTAATACCCCACTTACACCTATGGACAGATCAATTAAACAGAAAATTAACAAGGAAACACAAACTTTAAATGACACAGTGGACCAGCTAGACCTAATTGATATCTATAGGACATTTCACCCCAAAACAATCAACTTCACCTTTTTCTCAAGTGCACACGGAACCTTCTCCAGAATAGATCACTTCCTGGGCCATAAATCTAGCCTTGGTAAATTCAAAAAAATTGAAGTCATTCCCGTCATCTTTTCTGACCACAATGCAGTAAGATTAGATCTCAATTACAGGAAAAAAATTATTAAAAATTCAAACATATGGAGGCTAAATAACACGCCTCTGAATAACCAACGAATCGTAGGAGAAATCAAAAAAGAAATCAAAATATGCATAGAAACAAATGAAAAATGAAAACACAACAACCCAAAACCTATGGGACACTGTAAAAGCAGTGCTAAGGGGAAGGTTCATAGCATTACAGGCTTACCCCAAGAAACAAGAAAAAAGTCAAATAAATAACTCTACACCTAAAGCAACTAGAGAAGGAAGAAATTAAGAACCCCAGGGTTAGTAGAAGGAAAGAAATCTTAAAAATTAGGGCAGAAATAAATCAAAATAAAGAGACCATAGCAAAAATCAACAAAGCTAAAGGTTTTTTGAAAAAATAAACAAAATTGACAAACCGTTAGTAAGACTCATTAAGAAACAAAGGAAAAAGAACCAAATTAACAAAATTAGAAATGAAAATGGAAAGATCATGACAGACAACACTGAAATACAAAGGATCATAAGAGACTACTACCAGCAGCTCTATGCCAACAAAATGGACAACTTGGAAGAAATGGACAAATTCTTAGAGAAGTATAACTTTCCAAAACTGAACCAGAAAGAAATAGAAGATTTTAACAGACCCATCACAAGCAAGGAAATCGAAATGGTAATCAGAAATCTTCCAGGAAACAAAAGCCTAGGACCAGATGGCCTCACAGCTGAATTCTACCAAAAATTTAGAGAAGAGCTAACACCTATCTTACTCAGGCAGATTCTTATCCATTGCACAACCAGGGAAGTCCTTAATGGTATCTTTTTAAGCAAGAAAGTTTTTAACTTGAATGAAGTCCAGTTAATCATTTTTCCTTATATTTTATGCTTTTTGTGTTCTTCTGAGAGCTCTATGACTAGCCCAAAATCACAAAGATTTTCTTCTTTAGGAAGCTCTCACATTTAGGATTATGATCCATTTTGAGTTAATTTTTGTTACTGTTGTAAAAGGTTCAATTCAGTTCAGTTGCTCAGTCATGTCCGACTCTGCAACACCATGGACTGCAGCACGCCAGGCTTCCCTGTCCATCACCAACTCCCAGAGCTTACTGAAACTCATGTCCATTGAGTCAGTGATGCCATCCAACCATCTCATTCTCTGTCATCCCCTTCTCCTCCCGCCTTCAATCTTTCCTAGCATCAGGGTCTTTTCCAGTGAGTCAGTTCTTTGCATTAGGTGGCCAAAGTATTGGAGTTGCAGCTTCAACATCAGTCCTTCCAATGAATATTCAGGACTAATTTCCTTCAGGATTGACTGGTTTGATCTCCTTGCAGTCCAAGGAACTCTCAAGAATCTTCTCCAACACCATGTTCAAAAGCATCAATTCTTCGGCGCTCAGCTTTCTTTATAGTCCAACTCTCATGTTCATACATGACTACTGGAAAAACCATAGCTTTGACTCAACAGACTTTTGCTGGAAAAGTAATGTCTCTGCTTTGTAATGTGCTGTCTAGGTTGGTCATAGTTTTTCTTCCAAGGAGCAAGCGACTTTTAATCTCATGGCTGCAGTCACCATCTACAGTGATTTTGGAGCCCAAGAAAATAAAAGTCTCTCACTGTTTCTATTGTTTCCCCATCTATTTGCCATGAAATGATGGGACCAGATGCCATGATCTTAGTTTTTTGAATGTTGAGTTTTAAGCCAGGTTTTTCACTCTCTCTTTCACTTTTATCAGGAGGCTCTTTAGTTCTTCGCTTTCTGCCAAAAAGGTGGTGTCATCTGCACATCTAGGTTATTGCTATTTCTCCCTGAACTCTTCATTCCAGCTTGTGCTTCATCCAACCCGGCATTCTGCATGATGTGCTCTGCATGTAAGTTAAATAAGCAGGGTGACAATAGACAGCCTTGACGTATTCCTTTCCCAACTTGGAACCAGTCTGTTGTTCCATGTCCGGTTCTAACTGTTGCTTCCTGACCTGCATACAGCTTTCCCAGGAGGCAGGTCAGGTGGTCTGGTATTCCCATCTCTCGAAGAATTTTCCACAGTTTGTTGTGATGCACACAGTCAAAGGCTTTGACATAGTCAGTAAAGCAGGAGTAGATGTTTTTCTGGAACACTCTTGCTTTTTCAGTGATCTAATGAGTGTTGGCAATTTGACCTCTGGTTTCTCTGGCTTTTCTAACTCCAGCTTGAACATCTGGAAGTTCACGGTTCACGTACTGTTGAAGCCTGGCTTGGAGAATTTTGAGCATTATTTTGCTAGTGTGTGAGATGAGTGCAACTGTGTGGTAGTTTGAACATTCTTTGGCATTGCCTTTCTTTGGGATTGGAATGAAAACTGATCTTTTCCAGTCCTGTGGCCACTGCTGAGTTTTCCAAATTTGCTGGCATTTTGAGTGCAGTAGTTTCACAGCATCATCTTTTAGGATTTGAAATAGCTCGGCTAGAATTCTATCACCTCCACTAGCTCTGTTCATAGTGATGCTTCCTCTGGCCCACTTGACTTTGCATTCCAGGATGTCTGGCTCCAGGTGAATGATCACACCATCATGGTTACCTGGGTCATGAAGATCTTCTTTGTATAGTTCTTCTCTGAATGTAGCTATCTAATACAAATTTAAATTAGTTAAGATTGATTAAAATTAAAAATTTAGTTTCTTCGTTACACTAGCTTTATTTCTCGTGCCATTAGCCACATATAGCTAGTGGCTGCCATGTTGCCTAGTGTTGATACAGAACATTTGTATTATCTCAGAAAGTACATATTAGACAGTGCAGCTATAGGAAAAACTGAATTTAATTACCATCTTAACAGTTTCAAGTCTTCCAATCAATGGATATGGTGTATTTCTCCTTTTGCTCACATTCTCTTTAATTTCTCTTTAAAGTGTTTCTGTAGTTTTCAGTGTACAGATATAACAAAACTTCTCTTTCGTGTACAATTGAAAGGAATGTGTACTTAGCTCTTGTGGCATGAATTATTTTATATATGTTGGCTAGGTCAGGTTGGCTGATGGTGTTGTTCAAGTCTTCTGTATCCATACTGATTTTCTATCTGCTTATATTATGAATTATTCAAACTATTCAAATATTTAAGCTCAATTGTTAAACTATTCATTCTTATTTTAATTCTTTTTTATTTTATGAATTTTTAATCTCTATTTTAGGTACATATACATTTAGAATTTTTTTCATTAGGTATTGACCTAATTTTGTCCTCATAAAATGTACCTCTTTTCTCTAGCAATATTCTTTATATAAAAAGCCGTTTTGTCTGACAATATAACCACTCTAGTTCTTGTCATTCATATTTATAAGGTCTGACTTATCATCTTATTTTTGGCTTTGATTTTATAGTTCTTCTTTTGTAGACTGAGTACATATCTTGCTTTTTAAATCTAGTCTGACAATCTTTGCCTTTGATTAGAGTGTTTATTCCTTTCATATTTAATATAATTGCTGACACAGTTGTTTTTAGGTCTGCCATTTTGGTCATTTCTTTGTCTCTTGTTTATGCCTTTATTTTTCTTCTGTTGTCTTCTTTTATATTTAATGATTCCTGATTATTATACCATTTTAATTTCACTAGTAATTTTAGCTATATTTCTTTGATTTTTTTCTGTATATGTATATGTTTGCACTAGAGATAACAATATGAATCTTTTAATTTATTATGATTTACCTGTTTGTACTGATTTAAATCCAGTGAAAGAGCAATTTTATATTCATACAGCTCAGTTTCGTCCCCACTGTCAAATAACTGGGAGGAGTTTGAGATTTTACCCTATTTGTAGGTTAGTAAATTAGGCTGCGATGGTTTAGTGGATTCTGACAGAAGACTTGACATTCCAGGGTCCGAGACCAAGAACAGTTTATTACAGCAAAAGCAGTAGCCAGAGCATCATCATTTGTACTGATTCCTCAGACCTTAATTTCCACAGAGTGATAAAACAAAGGGGAAAAATACCACACCCTTCACTAGAGCATCATTCATGAATTGTGTCATCAGGATATTAGTATAAGGGATATTCTGAAAATGAATTTTTTTGTCAAATAAATTTGTGAAACTATACAGCCATATCTCACTTGTGTATATCCACAATGTATATTAGCATATTAAATGTACATTAGCAAATCTTACAGGAAAGAAAGCTGCTTACTTTTCATTGAAGGAAGAGTTTTCCAAATTATTTGACCACTGAATCTTTTCTTGTATGTATTATAACAACCAGCAGAAATTGTGTTCCACTGTCTACTTTGGCAAACACTGGTCCAGTAAACAACAGAAATGAAATGTAGTCAACTTATTTTAAATCATCTTTTATTACTAGGCTGCTTTTACAATGAAAGTAAAATAAATATCATCTTCCCAACACCTTTGAAACTGTTGTGTTCTGCTGTTCTTTAAGTGATTGAAGTCAAATATATAACATGTTTATCTGTAAATTCTGTTTTCATTTTTAGGGGATGTAATCAACCTTGGTGACAGACAGCTCACTGTTATGCACATGCCTGGTCATTCTAGGGGCAGTATTTGCTTGCATGACAAAGACCGAAAGATTCTCTTCAGTGGAGACGTCGTGTATGATGGATCACTAATTGATTGGCTCCCATACAGCAGGATAAGTGACTATGTTGGAACCTGTGAACGTCTGATAGAATTAGTGGACAGAGGTCTGGTAGAGAAAGTACTTCCTGGGCACTTCAATACCTTCGGTGCTGAAAGGCTTTTTCGATTGGCTTCTAACTATATTTCAAAAGCTGGGATATGCCATAAAGTCTCTACTTTTGCCATGCGATCTCTTGCAAGTTTAGCCCTACGTGTAACAAATTCTAGGACCTCACCCTAGTATCTACTTTGATTAATTCTATACATTATTCCAGTTCATTTTGTGTTGTTTAAACAGTGAGCATTTTAAGAAGTGATTTTATAGTACTGTTATATATTAGAGAAAAAAAAGATTGAGAATGAATAAGCCAAAAAAGGAACTTCTTAGTTTTTTTTTTCTTTTTTCCAAATAAGAAACCACTTAAATGAGCTTATAATTTGCCAAAGTTGTAATTTGCCATTGTCCTGTGTCATTTGCCCTAGAAATGATATAGAGGTATATGGGGAAGCAAGGAGGCATTTTGCAGTAATAGAATTATCTCTGTGTCTCATTTTTTTTATTTCCTATATGATCTAGGAAAAAAGAGCATAAGAGTGTTTTACATTTAAACTCCAGACTTGATATTTTTAGTATATTATTTCAAAATAAAGGTTCTTGGGTTTAAAATAAAAACCCAAAACATAACAAATAAGCTAACAGTTAGAATGACAGCTAAAACAATCCATTGTTATGGTACAGAATTTTTATGCTTCATTTTATTTGTTCTTAATGTAATTATAATGTACATTATGTGTTGTGTAATTTTACTTACAAAAAGTACAATGAATTTTATTTTATTGAAAAGCGTTAAATATTAATTGCAGTGCTTCAGTAAAAAAGCTACAATATATTGTTGTTTGTTATTATGTAAGTGTAATATTTTCAATGGTAGAAACAAAATTCAAATGTCTGTAATCTAACTACAAATTGTCAGATTTTTCAAAAGGACACTGTCAGGCAAATTTGAAAATATACACATTAAGAATAATTTTAAAATTATATCCTATTTTAATAGTAACAGCTATTATAAACAAAATTTTCCTTGTTAAGTAGCAGCTTCAGTATGTGTATCTTATTTTATAGTACCAGACAACATCCTAAAATAAACCATTCTTTTTCTTAACAAAGCATACATATGTACCACAGAAGGCTTTTCAGATTAATTGCAAAATGTGTGTAAGATACTGACTTAGAATGAATTGCCTTTTTTATCCTGATTCACAACACCTATTCCTGTTCAGTATTCTTTGTCTTGAATGAAAAGAAATTTCCATTTATAAAATTATAGGAAAGATTATCCCACTATTTAGTAAGATGTTTTGGTTTGGTGCTTTTAGTAATTTATTAAAAAGCCTTTTGGAATATTTCATAAAGGTTTTTAAAACTTTTTTTCACTGCCTTTTTATTATTGACATATATAAAACCAAACTCAGATAGCTTTGGAAATCAGAAATTTTAGTATTAGGAAGGTCCAGCAATTTCGATTTCTGAAAAATTATGAAACTTTTCCTACCCTACACCCCACTCAGGTTCTTAGTCTTTTAGTCATTCAACACACACGCACATACACACCCCACATACATACACACAGTCATATACATACATGCATTCATTGTGCTAAACACTGTGGAAGCTTATAAAGTCAGAGACTGTATCCTAGCTGGAAGTAGAAGACAAAACATGAGTAGAAGTATATGCAGTTGAAGTTTATACAAGTTACACATGAGTGTCAGGGACATAAATGGAGGAGTGTGAAGTTTGGTTAGGGAAGGTTTCCTGGAGGAGAAGTTTTTGAGTCAGGTTTGGAAAGATGATTTATTAGCTGGTGATGATAGAAAATAAGAATAGAGTTGTTTCTGCATCTTTGGAGCTAAGAATAGGGATGGAAGTGTTGCTGTCCAGAGTAGGCTATTCCCTTGTGACGATTTAGTTTTCAGGAGCCTTAGATCTTCTAAGCACCAAGCATTTAGCATGAAAAAGTGATTATGTATGTAAGAATCATCCATAAGACAGACAAGCTTATGGCCTATATGACCACATAGCACCAAATGATCCCTTACTTAAAATCAGTAAGGAGGCCATGGTTGTTGAAATGAAGAATATCATGGGAATTTCTCTGTGATAGTCATTCAAGGCAGTAGGTCTGTTTTAATAGTGCAACATCAAGACTACAGATTTGGTTCAGGGCAACTACAAACTATCACTTAATGAGCCTTAAATATAGCCATTATTTTTATATCAATAGCACAAAAGAAAACCAAAAGTCCTTAATCATTGACCATTTTATCATATCTTAGGACTTTTTTTTTTAAATCAGGGTATAGTAGGCACTAAGTTTTATGGGAAATATTTAAACCTGATGAAGGCTTTCCTTATTTCTTGAAAGTGCAATTTTTCAAAATACACTGATTTTATTTTTAAATTTCTCATTTTTTTTTCTAGATTTTTCAAATTGTACCAGAACATAAGACTGTGATATTTTGCTTTTGCTTCAATGTGAGTAAATTAGGGAAAGGAGGTATCATTCATTTAGTGCCCATGCTATGCATTTTAAAATAGGCATTATTTAATTTAATCATGGCCCCAGTGCCAAGAAGTAATTGACCAGCCTAACATCACAACTTGGAAACAAAGCTGGTAACTGAACACAGGTCTCTCTGCCTCCCAAACTGTGCTCTTTCTCTTATACCTGCACAATAACGTAAAATTGGCAAAGTGTATTTTTACTTTTCAAAATGCCACATGTGCCAAGAATAAATCAAGTGATGTTAAAGCTTAATAGCGTATTTTAAAAAAGCTTTAAAAATATGTATTTTCACCCTGACAGTGACCCTTGTTGTAATTTATTTTGGAGAAATGATAGTATGTAAATATAATTCAAAGTTGTCAAAATATAAGACATTTAGAAATAACTTTTTATTATTTATTTTGTTAATAACTTAATTTTTGGAAATTCAGTTTCCTTATTTGGTGTTTCCTTTTAACTGAGAAGTCTAGAGCAAACAAAACTTTGTGTGTTATCCTGATGTAGTTGAATAAATGATTGTGTGTAGTTGTTCTTATATGGATAGTAACATGAATGTGACATGCACAAATTGTTCTCATAATTTTCAGATAACTGTAACTAAACATTTGTGTGATAACTATTAAAGTGAACATTTTATTTCAATCTATGATTGGTATTTTTTATAAATGTTAGCAAATTTCTATTTAATGTCTTGCAAGGTTATTTTCTGTATGAAGCACAATTTTGAAAAACTTGAAATAAAGAAGATGTCAAATCCCTGGGCAAGAATATTAGACCCTAGAAACTGAATAATACCTATATAAACCTTGTTGTTCTTTAGTCATCCAGTCGTGTCTGACTCTTTGTGACCCATGGACTGCAGCACCCCAGGCCTCCCTGTCCTTCACCATCTCCCAAAGTTTGCCCAAGTTCATGTTCATTGCATCCATGTTGCCGTCCAGTCATCTTATCCTCTGATGCCTTTTTCTCCTTTTACCCTGTCTTTCCCAGCTGCCTTGTCATGATGAAGGGGCTTGTGTAACTCGATGAAGCTGTGAGCCATGCCGTGAAGGGCCACCTGAGACGGATGGGTCATAGCAGAGAGTTCTGACAAAACGTGACCAACTGGAGGAGGAAATGGCAAACCACTCCAGTATACTTGCCATGAGAACCTCATGAACTGTATAAAAGGTGGGAAAGATTTGACACCAAAAGATGAGTCCTCCAGGTCTGAAGGCGTCCAATATGCTACTGAGGAATAGCAAAGGAGAATTACCAATTCAGTTCAGTTCATTTGCTCAGTCGTGTCCGACTCTTTGTGACCCCGTGAACCGCAGCATGCCAGGCCTCCCTGTCAGTCCCAGAAGAAATGAAACAGCTGGGTCAAAGCAGATAGAAGCCTTACTAGTTCATAAATATGGCCTTTCAAATAAATGGATAAAAGATGGACTATTAAATATATCAGTTGATGTGGGGGAAAAAATCAATGTCATCATAAAAATGTTGATCATAAAGATAAATTCATCATCATAAGAATAAATTCCAGATGGATTTAACATCTAAAGCAGAATCATATGTGTATTGAAAGAAAATTTTAATCATGTTTAAGCCATTAGAATAGGGAAGGTCTTCTCTATATAGAAACACAAGATAAAACTATATTAGAATTTAAAATGTCTTATAACTCAGATGTCATAATGAAAGTTAAAAAGAGAAATTTTAAAATATTCATTAACTTGTGTAACAGAAAAAAATTTAAGGCAAATATAAAGAATGCCTGCAAGTCAAGAAGAAAAAGATAAACTAATGTATGGCAGGAAAGACCTTTTCTCTACCCTCTTAGATTCTGAGGTTGGGCCTGAGAATTAAACATATAAGAGAGAGTAATAGCAGAGCATACAAATTCTATTTGATGTTGATATTTTTATATGTACATGGAGGTCTTTATATATAAGTAAAAAGAGGAGTGGATAGGCTTGAGGGCATACATACCATTTTAACAAAGAATGACAGTCTCTACATCTCTACAATGCACATCTCTACAAATGACCCAATTTTGTTCCTTTTTATAGCTGAGTGGTATTCCATTGTGTGTAGGTACCACATCGTCTTTATACATTGCTCTGTTGGCAGACATTTATGTTGTTTCCATGCCCTGGCTATTGTAAATAGTACTGCAATGAACACTGGGGTGCATGTGTCTTTTTTAATTATAGTTTTCTCCGAGTATATGCCCAGTAGTGGGATTGCTGGGTCATGTGGTAGTTCTGTTTTAGTTTTTTAAGGAACTTCCATACTGTTCTCCATGGTGGCTGTACAAATTTACATTCCCCCTAAAAAGGCTTAGAAATTGATAGTAGCAGGTACGTCTAGGGCTACGAGTGAAAACCTTTTCGCTTCAATTTTAGTTTGCAACTTTGACCATTGAATTCCCCCTGATTCTATACTACTAAGCACTTTCTTATCCCCCACTACAAGGAAGATTGGAGGCTAATTTAGATTTATCATGAAATTAAGTAATCTTTAGCTTCATGGTGTAGGACTGGTTTGGGTCCCTTCGAAGACCCTGGGAGGGGCCCAAGAAATGTGTTCAAATGGCCATTTTTTCGTTTAATTTGTAAAACTAAGCTATTTTTTATTCTCTGTTTCAAAGCCTCCAAATTTCATAATTTTTAGGTCCTGAAAAATGGATCTG